TCGTGCCGAATAAAGATGAACCAAAACAAAAACCTCGAGATAGAATCGTCCAGAAGTTGCTGAAAGTTCTACCGACGTATAGATATGTATTTATACTTCGGTGAAAGTTTTAACCAATTTTATCACCACTTTATTTATGCTGTGTACTGTTAATAAGAGATAATATCAGGAGCTTGTCTGACATTACTGCCAAGTACATTTAAAATCAATATCGCACACAATGCAATAGTTAATGATTGGATAAAGTTCATTTTGACTCTTGTTATATTTCCATCCAAAGAGATATGACATTCAACATCAATCCTTCCTAGCAACATTTAAAGTGAACTCTATCGACGACAATAAACTGATGAGAAATGACTTCACTTCTATAAGAACTTGACTATCAATCCATGAACGGAAATAGCTATATAACAAATAGGTTTGTATAAATCATTCTTTTCTCCTTCTTTGATTTTGGTAATTCCGTTCTCTGACTGCACTGGTAATATATGAAACGGATTACCATGCGATAAATCATCAATAAAGATTTATATATAATTTAAACTGAAGTAAATTCGAGTAACCTTTAATGAATCTTTAGTCGCATGAGGCTGATTGCTACAGTAGATACTCTTTAGCCTCGCAAAATTGCGGAGCTAGAAATTGCGGTAAGAAAAAGGAAGGGTTCATTCAACTGCATCTTTTAATCAACAAAAATTTAAAATTAAGGTCGAAGCTATCGATGTTGATATATAATTTTGCTAACTTCAAAAGGCGACACTTCCAAAGACAAGCAAGAATACTTTGAAAAAGCTCCCATGTAATTGAATTTTGTGGGAACAGGAGTGCAGTGATCAATATGTGAGTTGACGATGGTAAACTAAAGGAGCCGGTCAGTAATACTGTTGGACCTCAACTGAGTATATGCTTTATTTGTTTTTGATGCAGTGTCCAGCGGTGCAGAAGCACTACCATGTTGTAGGGGTGTGGATTGGACCTTTAAATATACCTGAGCACCTCTGCTCCATCAGTACATATCACAGAGATCTTTTAGAGTTCTCAACATTTGTATACTTACCGACCCTCTAACCTATCCGCAGTTTTGCCTTTGCAGCTTCCACTTTAACTTCCTCTCTGCTTGGCACATTTCACTTCAGTTACTTTATACACAGGTATTTCTGCGAAATACCATTCTTTCCTGCTTTTACTTCATCATTTGCACAGGTCATAAGTTTTTGCGGATATTTGTGGTGCAACATAAAAAGATTATTAATTGACCAAGGAAATTTTTGAATGGTCAGTTTCTGGGTAAACTCGATTAAGAAGTGCAAAACTTGTAGAAAGCTTGATACTACTCTGAATGTGGAATTGTTTCAAATGTTTCCTTTCGAAGGATTGATTCACAATTTCCAAAAGCGTGGACAGATGTAAGCATAATAGAAAGTGGAGCAAAGAAAGTGTTGCGGAATGCGATCTGTTAAGAAGCTGAGTAGAACTGATTAGTAAATTGCTAGTAAACTGCGCATTTGCAAGCATCCATCGTGGAGTAATACCTAAAACCGAACTATTCATGAGTCCTTTAGTTTCAAGATACCACAATCAGCCTCAACTGATTGTAGTTATTCCAGTTTAAAAACCGAAAATCTAAAACATTACCAAAAAACGCTTTTATTGATTATGTATGTAGCATGCAACATCTCAGTGCTTTAGCAGGCTTCCGAAGTAATGGAAAATACATTTTGAATTTTCGTGGTTCCAACTATGCTCAATAGGTACTAGTTAGTAACATACGGGGCTACCGTTCTGTAGATAACATGACTAGATACTGACTCACGTGACTGAATATTCACTCATTGGTTTATTTTTTACGTCATTCAAATAGGAAGTTATCGCCAACAAATTTTTTATAGCTAAAGTTCATAGATGAATTTTTTGGTTGCTACTTGCTATAGTTGTTTCCTTGAAATGTTGTCAAAGTGATTAACGATTTGCAATTATTTGCGAGCTATGCCTGAAAGAGTGAAAGAAGTCTGTTTCTATCTGAAAGTACCCATATCTAATCCGTCTCTCTGTAAAGTTGCAATGATGCCTTCTTAGATCAAAATAGAGGAAGGAGGCTAAGATGCCAAAGCAGGCATTATGCTGCTTTGTGCTTTCAAGTCTGAAAAAAGTTTTGGCTGTAACGAAGACCGCCACAACCAAGCAAAATTTTATAGCTTGAAGCGAGACGAGGTCAATTTTCATATGGAGCTCTAATGGTAATCTACTCTTCAACTATAGTTTGAGACTTGTAACTACGCAACTTGGCAATTTTTGAAATTGTTGATGCTTAAGGTTTAGGGTTTTATTATAGAAATAAGATCTAAATTGAAATTTTGAAGATGAGCGAAGAGATATTTCGACTTTGGAACTAAAGACAAGTCAACTGAAATAAAGCATGATATTGTATGAGTTCATAGTCATTGCGGACTTTATAAAAAATTAGTAGACAGAAAGTTGCGCGGAAATCCCTGATAGTAGGAATTTGAACCGCTTC